GCTCTCTCGGGGAGCAGGGAGACTTTCTACTTCCCTACTATCACTATCGATCCTCCGGATTCTCCAGCCCGGAGTTGAGCACTCTGCCCAGCCCGCGCAGGGGTGGGATCAGCAAGTTACAGGAGTCCCCCGGCGCCGCCACACCGGGCGGGGACGCGGGGCCACACAGCGCAGGAGTCGGGAATCGGGGCCGTGAGCTTGGTGTTTGTCCCCGCGCCTCCCTCGACCCGCCCGGCCTGTGCGTGGCCTGGGCCGGGACCCAGGCAGGCCCGCCCCGTGTCCCTTCGGTTACCGGCGTCTCCGCCCCGAGTCCTCCCGCGCATTCCGGTCGTGCCTTAGCCTAGCGGAGGCCCGGGACACTGCGGGACAGACCGATCAGAAGGCGAGCCCGTGTACATTCTCAGAGGAGGACCCCCCCCCCCCAGGAGGTCGACCAACCATCCCAAGGGCCGTCCTCCGAAAGGGAATTGGGAAAGGATTTTAGGGGACAGGGTCTCCCGGGGTTGCTTGGGAGAGAGTAACTCGGGAGAAGCTTAGGCAGTCCAGCGGTTAGGGCTGCCCACTGAGATCGCATGCACCGCGCATTTCTTAGCTTGTTCCCAAGAGATAGTCTAGCATTAAGAATTTTAAGTGGGTTCCAGACACACTCTTCTGCCCACGACGTGGGAGAGAAACTAAGCCTTTACAAGTCGCCGAAGCCCAATGTGGAGCAGAGGCTTTGGAAGCCGGCAACAGGCCGTCCTTCTATGGACTTCATTTGACCCTGATGTCCTTTGCCCCCTTCCGCCGGCGGGGTTTGGGTATTTAGATCGCAGTTGTCACTGCAGAAACCTGCTGGGCAGAGGAGTGCTTCTGTCCTAATAACATCTTAATAGCTTCCTCCGATTAGTCAAAAAGTCCTGCTGAGGCGCTCCTATGCTCGCCCCTACTCCTCCCTGGACCCAGGGCCCTTCTGAAGCTGTCCACTCCCTCAGCATCATCCCCAGGACCTCCAGAAGTACCGCTCTTCAAGGCATCCCATCTTCAGGGGTGGGTTTGCTGGGAACAATCAGGTCTTTAATTCCCAGCTGCCCAAGTGGCCTAGCTTGGTGAGGCCGGCCTGCACTTTGAGCCTGGCATTCCTGAACGCTGAAGAAAGTTATAGTACTTCCTTGAAGAGATCTGGAAATAAGAAAGCTAGATGGCCAAGCAGAAACAGTCACTGTCATAAAGTCACTGGTTAGAATGCTGATCTATGCTCTGTATACATTAACCACTTCAGTCAGGGTTTCTCTGTGTAGCCCTGGCTGACATGTAACTTCATTTTAATACTTAGAAGAAGAAAAAGATTGTATGGGTCTGGAGTGGGGGCTCACATATGTAATTCACGTATCCCAGGCAGACACAGGAAGATCTTCTGAAGCTAACCAGCAAGCTGGATTACCTCATGAACTCCCCCCCCAACACACACCCCTACCTCAGAAAAAGAACAAACACCAAGTCCCTTCATGCCAATTCTTTTTGGGATAAAGACTCACTTTGGAGCCCAGGCTGATTCAATCTCCCTTAGTCTCTGGGAGATTGGAGGTATATGCCACTCCCAATGGCCTTTGGGTCAACTTTTTCACATTTCAAATTTCCCACTGATTAATGAATAGAATACATTTTGGGATATATGTATTCCACAGAAAAAAATTGGGACCCGTAATTTCTAACCTTTAAAAATCAGATAAGTTTGACAAGAAGAAATATTTTTGTTTCTAAGGGAAGCACGGACTTTCAGAGACCGACACTAATGTTTCCATTGAAACCAGCCCTTTGGAAGGCAGGCTAGCAGGACTGGCTAAAACTAAAAATATTTACAAAGTATGGTCCAACAAGTCCCTCCAGGACGCATGTTTTCCAATTCTAGAAAAAGGCCTCTGTGTGCTCACTAAGAGACATGTGCTGTGCAACTGTGGATGCATTGCTTGCTAAGGTGAGTAGTGCTAGCATAGGTGCTCATCCAAATGGGGGATGAATAAACCTCTGGCATTAAGTATAGGGGCCTCCCATATGGTTGCAGCAATGAACCAGCTCCAACTCTGAATGCTACAATGCTACCCTGCCTGGCAAGACGCGCCCACTAGGGTAATAGTGGATTCATGGTTATGGGAGCATGTGAGGCCTGCTCCACTATAGGGATTTCATGCCTGGTCTATAAATCTGGGGAGATCACAGGCCCTAGGAAAGGTGATAATTGTATTACTTAAGGCTCATGTTGTCAAACTGCTTTCTAAGTAATAGGTCAATACCTATAGATCCACATTGCTCTGAACGTTGGTTAGAAAAGTCTTCTTTTGCAGCGGGTAATGGTTCACGCAGAGACTCACAGCTGGTCTAAGTCCCAAGTATAAGTAACGATGAGTGTTCAGCTGTGGATGAGTCATCGACATCAATTTCCCCCACCTACAGCTCAGAACATCACAGAAAAGGGAGCAGAAAGAATACAAGATGGCAGGTAGGTAGCATACTATAAGAGCCATGGAATGCTAACTCCAGGCATTACACGGCTGTTGCACACATCAGCTCATAGGCGCTGTGGTTACTGGCACTAGTGCAATGCTTGGAACCAAAGGTGTTTCTGACATGGGAGTCCTTCAAATTCTCAGATATGCACAGACAGCATCGGGTTGCACATCCTTAATCTGAAATCCAAAATGCACCAAATTCTGGAATGTTTTGAAAAGCATCTTAAATTCAGTTGAGAATTTGAAACCAGAATTCAAAAGCTTTCCACAGCTATGAAGGACAGCGACAAGGTCTATGCTGACAAGTGTGAACACCTTTGAGGACCTGAATTACATAAATGTCAGTAACCGATACGCAGGACATGGAGTGGTTTCAGGTTATAAGTCAAGCTGATTGGCTGATTCCGTGCTGGGAGCTACATAATAGAATGTGAAAACAGAGAGCAAACAGGAGCTCCCTGGGTCACCTGCTCCACATCCAAGCCAGGTTTACAATTACCAAGTTATATTCAAGGAGGAACATTGCTCACAGGTAAGAGCTTGGTGAACCAGATTCTCCAGTCCGATGCACAGGAGTAAATAGTAGGCTTGTACACAAGTCTGCATGAAACTTGAAGCCTGTGTTTTGGAAGGAGTGCTTGGATATTGAGTTTAATTTCTTCTGTGATTGTTTTACTTTTATTTCTTTTTTTCCTTCAAGTTTTCCATTTCTCCTTTAACTTTTAAAGAGAAAGAAAACACAAAGGTTGGGTGGCCTTTCCCCCCAGCTAACCCTGAGTGGCCCATGCATTTGGCAACAGAATACATAATAGTACAGAATACACCTGAGTGCTCGGCCCAGAGCAGAGAGTGAGAATGAGCCAGAATACGTTGCCCAGGGACACCTGGGATCCTACAGTGCCATCCTTTGTAACCATCCACATCAGCCCCGCTTTGTCCCCCACCCACTTTCTCTCTACCCGTCTTCCAAATGTGCAAAGTTGATGCAGAAGGCAGCCGGATTTCATCCCTTGCTTGGGGAGTTTGGAGGCTTTTGCCTCACCAGCTGCTCTGCCAACCTTATAATGTGCCGGTGGGCATCCTGCAGCAACCGGCTCATCTGTTTCTCCTCAAAACATCAGTAACGGGACTGCAGAGCTACAAACAGGTTTCAGGCACACTGACAGGTATGGGTCTCAACAGCCAGAGGGCACAAGGAGCCGGTCCTTACTCCTTGACAGAGGAGGAAGCTGGGGATAGGGGCCTCCAGAGATAACCTCTGAGAACCAAGGACCTCTGGGAACCAACTGGATGCAGACTACTCACCCAATATCCTCATGAGACAATATAGGTCTTCCTCCACTGCCCCCACACTCCAAGTATCTGCACCTGGTGGCCCAATATTTAGTATATGGGACTTTGAGGGACACTTAAGATACAAACCATGAAAACCACAAAGTGAGGACGGGCTACAGGTCACTTCTGGGACCTCGGACCATCCCAGAGTGACTTCGCCATGATCCTGTCTGTGTTTTATTCCATCTCAGCATTGACATTCACAAGGTGAGGTAACCCCAGGGCCTTTCTTGACCGTCTCATATCTGCCACTCACACCGACCTGCACACTGTCCTGTCTTCCCCTTTCCTGAGGACAGAAGTAGCTACTCATGGCCTAAGTAACAGATTTTACCTTTGGCTGCCTTAGAGATGATAGCATAAATTTAATAGATTGCTTTTATTTTGAGATATTTATTTAATATATGGTACAATAAAGCAAATACAAAATTATGGTCGGCCAGGTGTGGTGGTGCATACCTGTGATTCCAACATTCAGGAGACAGAGCAAGAGGATCTCTGTGAGTTCTAGGCCAGTCAGGGTTACATAGTGAAACCCTATAAAAATATTATGGTCTAGAAAAATTAAACTTTTCTGTGAAAAGTAGATATAAAATCAAAGAAGTAAAGCTGCCATGGTTGCAGTTTGAATTGGAGACATTAGTATGAAACACTGACTTACCTTTATCTTTCTATCACTATAGGCCCCTACTGTACGCCTAGAAAATTTGTTTTATTAGGAGCCCTTCCCATGCCCCATGTTGATCAGTCTTTTATTTTTGTCTTTTGTCTACTTGACACAAGATAGAGTTGTTTAGGAAGAGGAAACTTCAATTGCAATTGGCCTGAAGGCAAGTCTAGGAGTCTTTCCCTTGATTAATGGTTGGTAGTAAAGGACCCAGCCCACTGTATGTGGTACCACCCATGGGTTGGATTGTCGAAGGAAAGCAGGCTGAGTAAGCCATGAGGAACAAATCAGTAAGCAACATTCTTCCATGTCTCTGCTTCAGTTTCTGCTCTGGCTTCTCTTCATGGCAGATCATAACTGTAAGCTGATTTAACTCCTCCCCAAGTTGCCTTTGGTCATGGTGTTTATCACAGCAACAGAAAGCAAACTAAGCTATTCCCAACCATGCTCATATCCCTTTGATCAAATGGTATGGTGTGAGCACAGAATGTATGCAATCCTTCCATAGTCATTAAATTATGTGTAGATGACGTATAATACAGACACATGTAATATTGTTTAAATACTTATACATACTGAATTTAGACAAAGTCTGTAAATATTCAGTATAAACACTTTGTTTTTTTCCTCTGTGGTTGGTTAAATCTATGGATATGGAAGTCTGACTGCATTATCTGGATTTGTCCATTGTGAGGATTTGTACATAAATCACCATGTTTGAACGCTGAGATTCCTAAAATTCA